GCCGCGAGAATTCAGTGGATAGAACTTTCCTGATGGAGGGTGTATACGCGTGGACATGTGAGAGCATTTTGAGAAGGAGAGCTGACTCTCCCCACTCTCGGCAGTACCAGGGCATTAATGGTTAAATTTTTCTCTCTTTTTCTATTATGTTCAAACAAGTACATATACAAAGAATTTTGTGTATAAACATATCGTATATAACATCATTATACATATAGGTGTGAATACATTTCCACATATTATTGATTTATTAGTCTTCGCATGAATTATTTTGTTTTTCCTACATTTTGTATCAGTATTCTCTTTGGATCCGCTTTAACCGGGTTGGTGGACATGGATATTCCACCTGGAGGAGTTAAAAAACTCTGATTCCAAACCAATGGTGCACATAGGCTCCGGTATCTTGAAGGAACAAATGGCGTATGAACCAATCGTTGGTCACCGGCTACCGTGTGACTGCATCTCCTGACGTTGCTCCACTGTCTTGTCGATTATAACTTGTAGGTTAAAGGCTCCGGGTGGACATTCGGGCAGTATCACAGTCCACACACAAATCAAGTGACTTGTGTGGCGCATATGTATTTTGTGCTTCTTTGTATCAATATTTATGTGTTAAAATAAATAAATAAATAAATTGGATACTCCAAAGGCAGGTATGTTGAGATGGTTAAATCAGAGAGAAGTTTCACATTGTACGAAATTTTATTCAGTTTATACAATCCTCGTTATTCACTGTAGAACCTTATTTGAATTATAATATTAAATACTTTAAAGAAAAAGTACACATTACATAATGATTACCATCCAGTAAATAAATGTGCTTTTTAACTCGATTGTTACGTGTATATTCAAGGATTTTTGTAACGACAAAATATAAACCACATTTTCCCTATTTGTCACACTTTATATGTAACCACATTTCAATTCAATATCTATTGTTTCTCTGTGACTCAATCTGGAGCTCCTCAGGTGCTACTGCTGGTTTCAAGCCCGGATAAAGTAGGAGGGTTGGACATGGGATTTGCGACCTAATTCGCTAAAAATACGCTAACCAGAAAAAATAATTCGAACCATTTAAACTCTGCCCCGGGAGTTAGAAGGTCTGTATTTAGAAGAGGTATGACGCCTGATGGTGAAAGCAGAGTTCCTTCGGAAGTCACAAGGATTATATCTCTTCTGACAAGCAGAGCAACAATTAATTCATGTACATGGAATGCTCGTACAATGTGGGAGACCGGGACAGTCATCCAAATTGCTGCATTGCTTCTCTGTATCAATAGTAAAGAAATGGATATAATTGTTTGGTTATATACACTGAACGCACTACCACGATTGTTAAAATATAAAAGCTATCAACGCCGTCTGTTCTTCTGCTTTATTGACTACAGCTTTTGATTGAAGATTATAATAGTGTTATAACATCCTTTTAGGCCTTATCACACTACATTATATTATACTATCGAATTTCATCTTTCTCATTACATCGTTGATGCCACCACGTGCAGAGGAATCTTTGTTAATTAAGTGAATTCATTTGTGGTTGTTATCTCAGAAAGTAGCTTACAAGTAACTTTCATATTTAATAATAACTGTTATCATTGTATATGTAATTTGTTACCTTTTTGCTTTACTCATAGACATATACTAAGGGTCGTAGAGTTAAACATTTTTGGTATATTATCGATAACTTTACATACTGTTACATCTTAAATAAGCTAGGATCCATCACAACTCACACTTAATTCTATTAGACATATCTACTAAATTACAAGGTTTCGAACGTATCTTAGTTAGTGATTCATTTATTTATCGTTGAACCACACCTATTTCCATCCATATTACTTACTTACGCCTGTTACTCCTCGTGAAGGAGCATAGGCTGCTCACCAGCACACCAAATCCAATCCTGTCCTGGGCAATCCTTTCCAGCTCCTTCCAGTTGTTATTCATCATTTTCATATCTGATTCAATTTCCCGACGTAATGTGTTCTTTGGCCTACCTCTCTTCCGCTTCCATTCAGGATTCCAAGTTAAGGCTTGTCTCGTGGTGCAGTTAGATGATTTGCGTAATGTATGTTTTATTCATTTCCACCGACTTTTCCGAATTTCTTCTTCAGCTGAAAACTGGTTTGTTCTCTCACACAAAAAGCTATTGCTGATGGTATCCGGTCAATGGATGTTGAATATCTTTCGTAGACAACCGTTTATAAATACTTGTACCTTCTTGATGGTATTTGTTGTAGTTGTCCAAGTTTCAGCTACGTACAGTAGAACTGCCTTGACGTTCGTATTGAAGATTCTTACTTTGATATTAGTTGAAAGTTGTTTTGAGTTCCATATGTTCTTCAATTGTAGAAGAGCGGCCCTTGCTTTGCCAATCCTCGCCTTTACGTCTGCATCTGAACCTCCTTGTTCGTCGATGATGCTTTCAAGGTATATGAAGGATTCTACATCTTTCAGAGTTTCGCCATCAAAAGCGATTGCATTGCTGTTCTCCGTGTTGTATTTCAGGACCATGGTTTTCCCCTTGTTAATGTTGAGGCTTACTGATTCAGAGACTGCTGCTACACTGGCTATCTTTATCTGCATTTGTTCGTGTGCATTGGATACGAGGGCTAGGTCATCTGCGAAGTCCAAATCGTCTAGTTGATTTTGAGCTGTCCATTGTATTCCGTGTTTTACCTCAGATGTCGAGGTCTTCATAATCCAGTCGACCACCAGAAGAAAGATGAAGGGAGAGAGTAGACAGCCTCGTCGGACTCCGGTCCTTACTTGGAATGCATCTATCAGCTGTCCTCCATGCACGACCTTGCACTGTAGTCCGTCGTATGAGTTCCGGATAATATTGACAATCTTCTGAGGAACTCTGTAGTGTCGAAGAAGTTTCCATAACGTCATCCTATCTACACTGTCAAATGCTTTTTCATAATCCCACTTACCTATATAGGTTATAGGTATAATAAACTCAGCAAGTCTATACTTGATTTACAGTAGTTATGTCAAGTAAATCATGGATGACTAAATGTTCTATATTCTGTCCATAAGCATTTCTGAAGTAAGAACTTGTTTTCGGCTAATTTCTAACTATCCCGATGAAAATATCAAATGGTAACTGTTGGGATCTATTTCTAGAGTAATACTATACGTATATGTTTATCGTATAATTGTTAAGTAACTAAACTATTCATATTCAAGTACCCCTTATTATAAGCTTTATTTTGACACATAGACTATTATTATACGATTTATCATTGTTGAGTTATGTCCATTCTATCACTTACTATCTCCTACATTCACAGCCACTTTGGCTAGATAGTGTACAAATGTTGTTTCCTATTTCATGGTACAATGTGGTCTGTTTGGTTAGTATATAAACCCAGTATATTTGAAATACATGATTCCTATCACCGAGGCTGAGATTGGTGTTCTGAACTTGACAGGCAACGCTAGGCAGGAAGCAGGACCGGTATAAAACTCTAGACTGCTCGTACTTGTTTTATACGCCACCGGTCCGGTCGATAACTCACTGTTCTCTAATTGGCGGTGTCATTACGTTACACATGAATAGGACACGGGGCTCAAGTTATAACAATAGCGAATCAGTTTATCGTAGATTACACTTAGTTACAAGTTCATTTCAATTGATTTATAATAATAAACATGATTGTACAGAACAATGTTCACTGTAAATGAGAAAAAATGTCATCAATTATGATTGAAGCAAACATCACAAGTGAGAATAAAGTGACAATATCTTCATGAATAATGTGAACTAAAAGACAATTCAGTTGAATAATGTTTGATTGTTTTCATTACACACCATGTATCGGAGAGAATATATTCGTTGATAACTGTTGATGTTGAAAGCTCCTTGTGTGACGTTTCAAAGTTTGAGGAAGTTATCAGTAATTTCCTTACTCGTTTTTGAGTCACATTCGTGTTAACATACACTATACTTTGCTTATGTTTACTGGTTGTGAGTAAAACATTATTTCATGATTCGTACTGTGATTATTCATCTACAAGTACTAACGATTCACAGTTGCATTGCTCACATTCCCCGTTTCATCCATTATTTCAACATACGTCCGTCTATTTGTGAATTAAGCTTTCCAATTAATCTTGGTCTTCTCCATTCATGGTCATAGCTACATAGGCAATTGAAATAGTTTGTAGGCCATAACGATAAATTTCCTCATCACATTTCAATACTATGCTACATATGTGAAGAACATGAAGTCCAATGAAGGTAATACTAATAAGAAATGATTAGTAGTTAATAGATTCTATACCACTTATCACAGCTTCCACTATAAACAATAATAATCCTAAATCCACAATGTTCATTGTTTTATAAAAGATTTAATTCTATTGCAGTAAACGAGATGACAACTGGGGACAGTCGAATGGACTGGAATACAAGTTTACAGAGCATCTTAGTAAAATCCGAGAATCATACAGCAGAAAATACTCCATTTGCAAAATGTCAATCAATCATCTCAGACTTCACTGTTCCTTCGTTTCCACAACAATCATTATCTGTTGTTGTTCTATTTCCTTCTATCTTCTTAACCTTCTGCTGTCAAACATTTCACTTTCGAGTGATGATACTTACTACTTATATCTGTTCATATCAGTAGCATACAGCACTCTAATAGCTATTCATAGTTGAAGTTAATTTAGGATTAGTGATTATAAAGAGTTTTAATTCAATCAACTCACATCATCATGAATTACAAACAATTTGTTTTTATCACAGTTTGTTTGCTTCCAATTCTTAGATGACTCTTCATCAAAGCTGGAGTACATCGAGTTTTATTAAAAATTGATTTTTTGTATGATTTCATTGATAGTTTAGAAATGCAACAAACATTTCAGTAGTAGTTATGATTCATTAAACTATTATCAAATGCTGGTAATTCTTAACACCATCATAAAGCTGTTGATTAGCTGCCTACTAGATGAAATGAGCTTAATAATAGATATCTTCATGACAGTCACTAAGTGGTTAATCGAAAATCAATATCTGCAAATGTATTTGACATTGATGTTGATCTCATTATTTTTAGTGAATTTAAATGGATAAAACCAAGTATCTATTGAATTGTTTTTGAACAATGTTTCCTGGTTAGCGTTTTTTTAGCGAGTTAGTTTTCTACGGGATAGGGTCGCTAACCCCATGTCCAACCCTCCTCCTTTACCTGAGCTTGTTGTCGGCAGCAGCCCATGGAGGGACTTCAGGCGGAGTTCATTAACCAATGTACAAATTAAATATTCAACTACTTGTGCATACTATTGAATATAGTTCCATTGCTAGACATCATTGACTTCTTCACTTGGTACATGTTCAATTGACTTGCTTTATCCGACTATTACTCTTAAAAGAACTTTTTATCAGTATCACGAGGCAATCATAACCAAGTGTGTATTTGTGTTTTTTTATTTATAGTCAATAAACAGAAATTATAAGCAAAACAGTTAAAAGAGAACTTACTTCGTAGCAAAATGGACAGGGTTGTTGGGGCTTCTTATCTGTCAACTTCTTAAATGGGATTAATGATTGAATATGATTTTAACAAACTTTTTATATCTGATTAACATCAAAACAGTATAGTTTTGATTAATTGTATATAAAATTCCAAAAGAAATGTCCAATCATCTCGGTACTGATGGAACAGTGAATCTCTCTGCACAACTAAGACTAACGAATAGAGTTACATAGGAGAAGTGTTATCGAACATCTTATGAAACGATTTAGACTGAAATGACAACACAATACATACAGTAACTCTCCTGTTCACAACTGAAATTGACAAAAGCTCTGATAAAACTGTTTTACCAGAATGACGATTTGTGGAGATTGTAATAATTTTATTATAATTGAATTTATGAGTCCATCTAAGCTAAACTACCATTGAAAATGTTGAAGCATTGAACGACCGTTTTGTTCTATTATGGGATTCCTATGCAGTGCGGATCCATGAACTTGACAGAAACTGAAAATAAACAGTTTTACTGCTTTTCTATATTGTGTTTTTGTGAGATGAAAGATAAAGAGTAGATGAACTGTACAAAAGAAGATCGACAACAAAACATCTAAATCTGGAAGAATACAAGGTAACTAAGCAATTTTCAACCAAAATCGAAGTTCAATGAACTCCTCTCAGGCGAAGCCGTGATACAACGTTGGGAAGGAAACAAAATTCGTTACATTTAGTTAGCGTTTTAAAACTCTTAATTTACTGCTTTATTCTACTTTATCATGACTTGTAAGCTGTAGTCAATGAGATTTATTTAGGATGTTCCAAAATTTATTTATTTAAGCACATAAACATTCGTACAAAGAAGCACAGAATACGAATGCGCTACACAAATCACTTGATTTGTGTGTGGACTGTAATATTGCCCAGGTGCCTGCGAGTACGAAGTGAGTAGGACTTCCTTGGCAGTGGTTGTATGCACATGGCCATGTGAGAGCATTTTGAGAGGGAGAACTGACTCTCTTCACTATCGGCCATAACAAAGCACTTGGGGACGAGTATCCCAAAAACAAGCAATTCACTATTGTAATATTTATGAAATTTTCGTCTACTTAATATTCATCGCTTCTGTAATGATATCAATCCATAAACCAATAAAACTTTGTATTGTACTGGATTGTTCAACTTTGAAAGTTTGTTCTCAGTAAATTCGCATCATTTGAAATCAGTCAATTTGGTTCCATTGATGATGAATAGACGTTCAGATTACAGAATGCTATGTTTGGGGTTGGAGAAGTGAATAACATAGTACAATTAACTACAAAGAATATAATAATGAGATCACTTATTTCTTACTGAATATCCTCCATAATGTTGGCAATTATTTTTGTTGCTTAATACATAAAGCTGTGAATAGATAAATAAATCTATTAAATTCAGATATCTAGAACAAGGTATTACTGTGATGTGCTACTGATGTTGACAGATATAAGTAGTAGGTATCAACAATCAAAAGTGAAATGCCTGGAGGCAGAAGGTTAAGAAGATCGAACGAAATAGAACTTACTTAAACATGCATTTTGTCACAAACTGATATTAATTAGGAGAATTCAGCAAAGGAAGTTTTCTTTTTTTGGGTGAATTCATTTACTTAAGCTGTACATTCATATTCATAGTTATATGGAAAAAATATGTGTCTGTAGAAGGATAGAGAAAGTTACATCGCTCCAAAGGAGTCTTCTTTTAAAATAATCTACACAGTCACAGGAATTGGTTCGAAAGGGGGTCGAATCAAAATCTTATGCACTGATGAGACATTGGCAATACACCAACATTGCGTGCAAAAACGATTTGTCCAACCTCTCATCCTTCCTTGGACGTAATTCCCTTTTGTATTATGTTTTGGGTTTTTCATTATTATTATTATTGATTGATTGATTGATTGTTTTGTCATTCTAAACTGTAATTAGCTGTAATTATTGCCCTTGAACAAGTTTCTTTGATTATCATCCAGTTTTTATGATTATGACCTTTATGTTTTTCGTGTTTCTTCTTCTTCATATCTGTCAATTAGACAATTGGATTAACCCGTTAATTATTCCCAGCCTTATATTCTTCTCTTACCTCTTGATTATTACGTAACCTCATTTGAGAATAAGAGTCTCATATCAATTTATGATGTAACCTTCTCTATCCTTCTATAGACACATATACTTACGACATAACTATAAATACGAATGTACAGCTAAAGTAAATGATTTTGACGAGAAGACAAAACTTCCTTTGCTGAATACCCTTTGTCTTTATCTTTATCTAATGACACAATGGGTTATTTGAATTATCTGATATTAATTAGTAAACTTCTACAGATCAACCATACAAGGTAGTTATATTTACCCGTTAATTATCATCCATAAGAGATAAAAAGCGTTCATTATCATTTAGTAGTGAACAATATTCTTAAACAATATTGAGGCGTAACCTTATTCCTACTAATTTTATATAAAGCATTATGTACTTCTGGAAATCAATCACATCAATTATTCGTGACAAACAAATAAACTTACACTTTCCTCTTGAAATCAACATCATATATAGGTACTTTCAATGGAGCATAGGCCGCCGACTAGCATTCTGCAACACACTCTGTCCTAGGCTTTCGTTTCTAGTTCTATCAAGTTGTTGTTCATTCTTCTCATGTTTCGAAGGACAGAAATTTGATAGAACTAAAAAGGAAGGTTCAGGACAGAGTGGTTTGAACAATGCTGGCCGTCGGCACATGCTCATTTGGGAGTTCAAACTTGTGTTACTGTGAAGAAATACTTTATAGTAAGTCACGAAACGTCATCAGAAATACAATTTTTCCACTCATTAGGATACAACAATAAAATATAATTATTATTAAATATTATGTTATACATTCATCAATATGCAATCGAAAAAATACTAATAGTTAAACTTACATCTATAGTTTCCTCCTCATACTAATAGTATCAGGAAAGTAGATTATGGTGTGAAAGATGTGGTGTGTGAAAGAACTCATTGGATTACACTCTCATAAACAAATTCTAATTAATTAACATTTCATATTTATGATGACTCCAAGATCAATGAAATAATTTCCATGGATTGATTGAAGATAGACATTAACACTGTTGAATGCCGGCTCACTGGTCCAGAAGTTAAATGTTCGCACGCGAGACTGATATATCCTGGGTTCGAACCTTGCGGGGCAGTATCGTCCAGTACTTTCACGCTTTCCATGAGGGTTTAGATTCAGTTGACTCATGAATTCAATTATTAAATTATTACAATCTCCACGACCCCCTCTCAGATTAACATAATGACAGAGAAATCATTGAGTAATATTATCTTTCTATATAAACATCCATTTTATGCGAAGGCGGACGGTGGCTAGCAGTGGAAATCAGTTTGACGTGAGTCTCGTTTTATTTGAGACTCCTCAGCTGGATGAGCCTGCGTCCCAGAGCTGACGTTCACTTCAGGACTCGAGCTCAATACCGTTCGCTTCAAACACCTTCGCGTTATCCACTTAGCTCAGTCAATCAGTCAGTCAGTCAGTAACAACGTAGAACTTCGTATGTACGTACATCAGTTCGAGTTGCCACACCACATTAGCACAGAGATGCAGTTGTCGATTCAAATCCCGTAGTGGTAGACGTAATAAGAGTATAAGCAGTAATCGGGAAGATTAGGGTTTGGAGATGTTATTTAAAGAGTATAATCCAGTGAAACAAATTTGGAAAGAGGAAAAAAGGGACATGAAGAATTCAGAGGATTAGAATTTGGGAGAACACAAAGAGTGGATGCACCTGCGCCATTGTAAACGATTTTGAGCCATGTGATTCAGCGTCTCTAACCATCGGTTGCTATCATCTCGTGGTCCCCAAGCAGGTAGTCTACACCTACCAACATGACTCAGTCCACTTGTCAGTGACTTCATGGACTTGTGCCATGTTTTGGTTTGGCCGCCCCTAGCTTTCTTCCAACCTACTCCTATACTACTGAACATCGCACGTCGAGGTAGTCGGTCGTTGGGCATACGTAACACGTGTCCTAGCCATCCCAACTGATGAAGTTTCACTACTTCATCAATTGATTTGCCATCCTTACCTAGTACCCGTTTCCTAACAACTGTGTTACTTACTCGATGGTCCCATGATATACGAGCAATGTTTCGAAGACACCTATGATCGAATACTAGTAACCTACGGATATCCTCTACTCTTACCGGCCATGTTTCACTGCCATAAAATAGGACGGAACGAACTGCTGCACAGTAAACACGTCCTTTGGTTGATAGACGGATATCTCGCCTACGCCATAAATGACGCAAGTTGGCAAAAGCTAGTCGAGCCTTCTGTATCCGTGCTGAGATTTCGTCACACACCAGACCACAAGGGCTGATGAGATTTCCAAGATAAGTGAAGCGGTCGACACACTCAACTACTTCACTCCCTATCACTAGTTCGGGTGTCGATGTAACCCAATCCTGAAGCAACATTTCGCATTTCGAGGGAGAGAATCGCATCCCGAACATGCTTGCATTGTTGCTTAGAGTGGTCAGAAGACTCTGCATTTTGTCAGCGTTTTCACCAAATAAAACTATGTCATCAGCATATTCTAAGTCAACAAGTGAACCTCCCGGTAGAAGTTCAACCCCCGGATATTTAGATGAGGAGAGTGTTATCTCTAAAAGTACGCCGACCACAAAGTTGAACAAGAATGAAGAGAGTGGACAGCCCTGACGAACACCACTTGAGGTAATCAATTCTGATGACAGTTCGCCATAAGCTCTCACTCTACCAGTTGTGTTCGAGTAGAGAGCCTTTAAAAGGTTAATGTACTTCTTTGTTACTCCTTTCAGTGACAAACACTGCCATAGAACCTCACGATCAACAGAGTCGAATGCCGCCTTAAGGTCGAGAAATACTACCATTGTGGGGCGTCCAGTAAGACGCAAGCAAATACGCGCGCGCACTAGAGCATGATCTGAATCTAGGCATGTGCTCCAGAATGAGCGACAGTCTTCTATCGAGCCCCTCCATCGGTGGCTGATAGCGATGTGATCTATTTGGGTCCAACGGTGAGACGAATTAGGGGGTCGCCATGTTAAAAGATGTTTTTCCTTATGCTTAAAGTTAGTATTTGCAAGGAACAGGCGGTTATCTGAGCATAGCTGCAACAGACGGTCGCCATTATCAGTTCTTTGAGCCACGACACCATAAGATCCACCTAGGTGTCTTTCTCTATCGCTTAGTTTACCTACTTGAGCATTAAAGTCACCGGCCACTATTACTATATCAGAGCGCCCAGCTTTTCGGAGAAGGTCCGAAAGCTTTCTGTAGAACTCATCTTTTACATCATCTGAGCTGCAGTCAGTGGGAGAATAGGCAGAGACGACGAAGAGGCAACGACGAGTGTCCCTATCTTTTCGGATCCTTACTGTTCCGTTCAGTCAGACAGCGCACAAACGACTGTCTACTGGGATCCACTCCTAGAGAGCTAGTTCTGCCCTAGGACTCAATGCTATACCTACGCCAGCGAGGCCACGGGAAGCAGAATCAGGGCTTCCAGATACACGAAGCGTAAATCGAGTTGGTCCTTTATTTTGGCATGGTGAGGTTAAATGAATGACGCTACTCGGATCCTGAATGCGCGTTTCGGAGACGCAGCACACACCGATGGTGCGAGATTCTAAAGTCCTAGCTAAGGAAGCCTGTTGTCCTATTTGGCAAAGTGTTCGGACGTTAAAAGCTCCTACGTGTAGTTTAGAGCGTGGTTTCAGGAGACCAGGAATAGCGTTCCACGTACTCGAATCGTTTGCCCTAGCGGTGCGAGGTGATAAAGAGACGTGAGGAGGGTTAGTCGGGAGGATAAGAGAGGTATTAGGAGGTGTAGGAAGGATTTGAATCTGACCAACTTGGTCTCGTGTGCTGTTACGGGTATGAGGGCTGATGTCACATCCCGGCTGCCCACACCGTGGAAGGGTATTTCTTGAGGAACCTGAAAAGAAAATTGGATTAGTGTTGGTCTTGACGACCTGGGAGCGTGACCGCAGAGCCCAAGGGACAACTGCTTGAGGCCGGTCGCGCACGGCCTTTCTGTGGAAGGTTTTTGACGTGTTAGCTCCGTTCTTCAAAGGGCCTTACCGCCGGAGACGGAGATCCGTGAGGTAAGGTGAGGTGTGACATTTTTAGGGTCGACTTTTTCTAACCCCACCCCTCCTTGTGGGAAGGCAGCATCGCTATCATGCTGGTTGTCCGAGGGAAACACCTTACTGCTGTCATACCTCTGTACAGTCAGCAGTACGACTTCGCCCTCAGACCTTGAGTTGCTGCTTTTAATCTTACCGTTTACCAATCGACCTGCCTGGCATGGTAGAACCTACAGGAACATATGTTCCAGCCAATATAGCTCGGTTGGGTCATCACGATAGGCAAGCCCGATCACCGCGTCATGGTAGCAGCTGATTCCTAATAGCCACTTCCTTGTGCAATGGGGTAAAGTTTAAATTCACTAGGTATAGTTTATTATATCTTCCCGTTGTTGTTTAGGACTGCAATTGATCAGTCTATTATTGGCATATGTGCATCTTAAGCGTATTGCCTTGATATAACTTTAATTCACAAGCATTATATGCAAAGATGGATAGTGCTAGGTTAGTGTACGGGGGATTTTGCGTTTGATGAAGTTAATCACTTTGGAATTCTTTAAAAAACTAAAACCAAATAACTGTGCAGTTTTCTGTCATAATGTTTCATTTAGCAAATATCCATATAATAACACTGATAATTAAACATACTTCTAACATATCTTCGTAATACTGAAGGAAAAATAATATTGATCAAATTTGATCTAATGAATTATCAGCGACGTAGATTAAAGTAAAAAGCATAGAATATGCGAAAGAACTTGTTATGTCCCGTCAAATATCACGTGACCGATTCCCCAATCAGAACACTGACTTATATGACCTTGGCCCTGTAACAGACCAATGACGTATAAACCAGACACGAGACGACTAGATTCAACTTTGAATCTTTAGTGATTCTTCTTGCCTGGCCCTGCCCGTTTAGTCAAGTATACAATCTTAGCTTTCATTGTATGAACCATGTAATTTAGGCATACACAGTTTGTACACAGACAAATGAGACCGCATCATATCATAAAATAAAAGTGACAAATATACAAGATCAATCAGTTCAGAGCGTCTACAACTAACCAATCAAATCGCTGCTTAAACGCCCATCACGTCAATCTGGTCTGGTGTGTCTCTAGACTATCCCTGTTGAGTGTGACCTACCAATTGAAGGACATTGTAGATCACCAAAAAGTCTTAGAACAAGGAAAAGGAAGACTCTGAACAGTGCAATCACCAAACATCTCCTTGATACAATCCTTTAGGGTGATTAGTAAGCAGCCAACCTCCAGTCTTCTGAAGTTTACTGAAGCCATTGCCATCAGGCGTCAAAAACCTGACCTATGTATTCAAAAGGAGACGGTGGTTAATCTTTCCTTACCCTGGTGACAAATATTCTTTCACTGCACCATAAAATTTTATTTTTTTCTTTTGCATTTATTACATCATTGGTTCTAATTTATTTTTTCAACTATCTTTCAAATTAATAATCTTTCAACTGAACTCTACTCACTACATTCCTTCAATGTTTATTCATTTTGTAATCGATTGTTTCTAACCCACTTTTGTCACAATGAATGTTGTAGAATATTCTTTCACATTAGGTATATATTTACAATATTCAGTAAGCAATTTAAACCCATTATGTAATTACGATGATTTTTAAATATCACAGGTTGTAAGCAGCTGACGAGACCCAGACGAAACAAAAAATGAATTCATGCTATTCTGCTAGAATCTTTGTTCTTGCTCTTTTCACTAATAGAATTGTTATTTTTACGTTTAGAAACAAATAATGTATCAAGCCAAGCTGTCCTTGTTCTGATTATAGCTTAATTCACATAGCCTCTGGGGTCTCCAGTATCATGTTAACATTTCCGTTAGAATATCTGTGGGACAAATTAAATCCTTTAAGTGGCTGTGAGTATGAGTGACTGTAGCTGATAAATCGGCAAAAATTTAGAAATGGTGAATCGTACTGCAATGGCTAATAAACCAAATGAAAGATGCTTAATAATTATCCAATAAGAATCCTTCAGTTAACTGAATATTTTGTAACATTATCTCTAAACTATCCATTTGGAGACAATCGTACAGTAGTAACTTACATTCGATTTGTTACACTAAAAGCATATCATGAATGCAAATGTTAATGTACAAATGAAATTGTAATCGTTTAGCGGTGAACATGAACACAACACAACTCTTGCCTAATTATACACGTACGTAAGTTACTGTTCACCTGATACCAAGTAATACATATTGTGGGTTAGGCAGGAATGTTTAGTCTCACAATTTCTCTTCAACTTTGCCATCGATGATTTCCTGGAAACAGCTCTGGTGGATATAGGTAATGGTAGTGTGGATCTGTTACCTGGAGAAAGACTATTCGACTTTGAGTATGCGGATGATATTGGCTTATTGTGCGATGATACTCAAACCGTGAAATTCTCAATTGATCATTTGGAAAACAGTGTCCGTAGGTATGGCATTTACTTTGAACCTTTCACGAGAACGTTAGCACTCTGAACCTGCACTCACTCTTGGTAGTGAGCAGATATAATTAGTCGAGAATTTCGTATATCTAGGTATCTGTGTAAGTGCTGATGGTTGCATGAATGATGAGATCTATGTACGTATAATGAAAGTTAGAGGAGTTAATGCTAATCTGAACTATCTCTATCACTTTTGTGATGTTAGCCTGAATGTAAAATGTTTATAATGTTTCAGTGAGAGCAGTTTTCCTCTATGGTTGTGGAGCATGCTCTCTCTGACTCGGGGATGATAGTTTACTTTGTGTTTGATCGTCGTTGACTCCCAAGGACTGCTAAGATTTAGTGGCAACACCATGCTAGTAATGTAGAGGTTCGGTAAGGTGTGTTTGGACACATTTACGATAATTCAGTCGGTGTCACCGCCTTAATGCACCGACTTCGTTGGTTTGGACATGAACTACGAATGTTGTCATCATAAATTCCACATCGTTCAATGTTTGCCGACTCTGGGACTGGGTGGAAAAATCAAAGTTAATCTGTGTATAAAATGATGTCATGTCATGACAAAAGCTGTAAAGGACTTTGATTAGTCGGTACTTAACAACTCTCTCGTTCGGGTTATAGAGATAGTGTTACTCAGTAGCTTGTGATATTATCTGACATACTTAGTACTCTGTGGAGTTTGAATGAACTAATGATTCCTTTCTACTTGTTGAATGCTTGATTTCAAATTTCAAATACAGCAAATTCTTTCGTGCTTATCTTATACTTCTTGATCCAATTGCGTTATTTCTGGGATTCCTTGTTTGTACTATAATTCAAATACTCCTAATTATCACTTACTCCTCTAATGAATACTTATTGATGAGAACTTTTACCATGTTATTATGTGATGATATAAATTGTGTACACTTGTTTTTTAATGCTTGATACTATTATGTTTAGGTTGAAAGCAGCTGATAAGAAACCAAGGAGGGAAATGTACTCACGTTATTCCGCTACGTTCACTGTTCTTTCATTACTTATGTTTATGAAATAATTTGATGATCATCTAAATCCAAGGAAATTATCTACTCTACACAGAAAATTAATATTTACATGTTATCATTAAAAATTGACGGATACTTCGTATTCGTTGAGCAGACACTATTAGCAACAACCTACTGTGGGAGAGAACAAACCAGATTCCAGAGAAGGAAGAAATCAGTAAGAAGTGCTGGAAGTGAATAGGACATACATTGAGGAACGTAGGCCACTGCGTCACAAGTCAAGTTCTCACATATATTCCTCAAAGCCAAAGGAGAAGAGGAAAACCAAAGGACAAATTACGTTGAGAAATGGAGATAGATGTGAGAAGAATGTACAAGAATTGGATATAACTAGAAAGGAAGGCTCAGGACAGGGTGGGTTGGAGAATACTGGTCTTTGGACTATGCTCCATTGGGATCAACAGGCGTAAGTAAGTGATTAGAAGTTGACCATTTTAATAGATTTCATTTGGATGAATTAGTTACTCTATTTCTGAACTCGGTGTACCATCGTCAGTATATCGTCAAAAAAGATCTGAAAAGTACTTACGTAGGTGATTTGACCACGACCCTAAAAATGTAATATTACAAAATGTTGACACTGACATGTAAGTAAAAGTGCTCTTAATCATAAAAATCTGATCATCCCTTTTATTATTTTCATTATGAATAGCTAAGCTTAAATCCAAATATCTTATATGAATGATAATGTCAATGAAACATGTCTTATTATATTATTCACAAATGAAAGTTATTAAAATGGGAAAAATAAATCAATAATGGAAAGTGACATTATCTTTGATTGAGACTTCTTTATTGATTATAATTTACAGTTTTACACAATGGGGGTAAGAAATGTATGTGACCATGTAATTTTATTACATAATGCATGAAAATATTTTTGTGATTATTATTATTATTAGTGGCTTTATTCACTATTGTATTTCTGGCACAATATAGAATTCTCAACACAAAGTATTTTGGTGAAACTCTATTTTATGGACGACCTTTGAACGTATTTTTAAGTGACCTTGAGAACATTAGCCAATCAGAAGAAAGTTAGTATAAAGTAAAAATATATTATAAAAAACTGATGAATTACAATGGATATTCTTCTTTTACATGATTTAAGAACTTGTTGAGGTTTGATAAAGGTTCAGAAGTTTTGAAATCATAGTGCATGCAGTATAAGAACTCGTCCATATGGCTCCATAATAATCGTCCTCTGGAGCCGTGGTAGGGTCTTAAAAAATACATCAGCCTAGACCACATGCCCTCAATGTTGTTTGTATGGACCCCCGTCGTTGGATCAACGAAATGACGTTTGTGCACCACAACATGATGCACAAAACCAAGTCTCGAGAGGCATCTATACGCTTTCCAATCATCGGTATAGATCGTCGTGCCAGGCTGAAAGTACTCCTTGATGATTGGTATGACTGTCGTTACCTGACGGTTTCTTACTCTTTGAAAATGTCCTTTTTGAGTTGAACGATCGTAAAACCCAAGTACCTGTCAAGTATATTCACAGAAGTGCTACTTACCCAATCTTCTTTGATAAAACGTCCTTTATTGTATTTTCGCTTTCTAACTAGCGCCTCATCTATTTCCACTATCTATCCACTATCATTTTCATTGCGCATATATCACGACAATATTCATACTACTGAACGGCGGAAGTTTCCGTAACATCTGTAAAAGCCGCAGCTAATGTTACTGGAGACTTTATGATCCAATTTGCAACGATTATCATGATTTGTCTTAGCCTTAGCCGTGACCGGGAAAAAAAGTGCCAGTTCGAGCAGATTTTTTTCGCCGACATATAGTACAACGAAATACAATGTCATCGCGGTAGTCTGCACATCGTGCTGCGGTCATTTGATTGCCGCAGTCACAGACATAGGAACTTCTTAATAGTCCTATCTGCTGTAATCTCTCAACGATCACCTCTTCTCTAAAATCTGCTGTAAAACGATCGAATGTGAGCATCTCGCATTGAACTTAGCGCCGTGACCTTGAAACTCCTTAAACGCTTCTAATTGGCTCGTCCATAAATTAAAGTCCTACCAGTATATTTTAACAAGTTTGCTTTTCTTATTTGTTGATCGATCCTTAAGATAAATATGAAGTAATCACCAGTTAGATGTTAACAGTTTAGGAATAGACACATGAATTATGTACATTCTGTTCACTGCATATTGTCAGCAAACACGACGTCTCTGATTAGGCATTTTTAAGTAGTACAGTGAAAGCTTATAAATCTTTTCAGAAACACACTTGAATAGATTATGCAATTAATATCTAGATGGCAGGAACAGATAGCCCAGTTATTTAAGTAGGCCTACAACATAAATAAATTTATTAACATGATATAATTTAATCATAATCATTTCTTAGAATGAATATTAAGTTGTCTGGTATAGTTATCTCCAGAGGAAATATTTATTTCATGTAGAAACAACAATTTAATCACTTACAAATCTAGTGGGACATGTACACTAAGTTATAGTTTATAATAAAGATATTTGAGTTAATCATATATTGAAAATGAAAGTTTATTAAGTTGTGAAGTATTCAAAATGGAAGTCATTTGAATGTGTGGTCACAATGAAACACCAATATTACCCTATTTTATTTTATGAACTTAAGAATAAAGATAACGAGACCGCTTAATATGCGTAATATCAGATGGGTTTTGTGGATATTATAGTCATTTCAGTGGTTACGATCATGAGTCAGTTGAAGCTAGACCACCATGGAAAACCTGCAAGCACTGGATGGCCGCTTTGCCCTATTGTGGGACTCCTCAGCAGTGCGCATCCATGGCCTCGCCCCCCGTGAGATCCGAACCCAGGACCTACTGGCTTCGCAACCAGCAACCATCCATTCGACTTGGAAAATATCAAAATAATACGAAGAAAAAAACTTTCTCAACTCTAAAGGAAGATGAGTAGCTGAAGTTTTCCATGTATTCCTCAGAAGAAAAGGTGGTATTACTATCCATCTGATTTGAACTATCTTTCCAAGCTAACACGTCTGATCCTATTTACAAATCACAATGTTATCATTACACACAAGTTCAACTATATCTTTTAACATTACAAATGTCATATTTTCCACATCCATTAACGCGCACACAAATATACAAGGATGTTTCCTCATCTTACCGGAGTGAAATGACAGTGACTTCGTCAGATCTGTTTCTTAGTTGCTTCATTCCTTTGTACCATTTAGACATAGTTTGTTTATTTATTCTCTGAAGAAGTTGCTTATACTGTCACGAAAAGTCAGGAAATTTAACTTTTAATCTCAATGAGATATTACAAATATATCATTTGCTCATTGGTAACAATCGTACCCAATACTCAGTTTATTTGAAATTAACAGGTCAACTCTTCATAATGATATCTAAACTTGTTAGTTTTGTTAGTCGATTTATAATAAACGGTCGTTAACTGATATATATAGTTAAAAAGTGGGGTAACACTAGGGTATTGCGTCATTCAGGTAAGTTGCTGAATCCCCCCCTAGCAGTTATAATCAAGTTTTTCCTATCCATCTGTGTGCATGGTAAATTTGAAACACTGAAATCATATCAGTTGGGGTTTCTGCTAATATTATAGTAATTTCAATAGTTGAGATCATGAGTCAATTGTGAGATATTAACTCACTGAAGACATTGGTGGATGTGTTGTTCAAATTCGTGGATTAGTTGAAGTTAGAAATTAACAGCATTGGATGCCGGATCAGTGGTTTAGCGGTTAGACGCTCGAGCACGAGACTGATAGGTCGTGGATTTGGATCTGGTGAGGAAGGATCGTGGACGCGCACTGCTTAGTAGTCCCACAGTAGGACGGAACGGCTGTCCAATACTTCCACGTTTTCCATGGTGGTCTAAATTCAATTGACTCATGATCTCAACTATTGAAATTACTGAAATCATATTTATTTTTATCATATAGTGCATGATAATTGCACACTTTTGGAAATAAATACTGGAATATACATATGATATAGTTGTTCTATAGTTTATCTATCATAATCTCATTATAAATATTTGGGTATCAACTTACCGTATAATTTTTGTCTCCTTTCTGGATATTACGTCATGGTTAATACATTTCGTTTCTGAATGAATTAAGTAAATGAATTCCTAATGTTTATAGTAAGATGAAATTGTCAATTTTACTGATACCTTGTTTATAAGGAAACAATAGTAAATTTGATTTATCCTTTCTCATATTGAGCAGTAAGTTGGGTGCATCTAATTGATTTAGTATACAGTAGAACAACCTATTCATCAAACAGGAGTTGAAGTAAATTTCATAATTCTGAGTATGATTTCTCACAGTAATCAATATAGATGGCTTGTGATGAACGTCAAATTTTATTAAGATCGTGAACCGACCTTAGTTATATAACATGGTTTGACAAGTAGTCGTCAGATTGATGTATTGCAGTAAGTGGAAGAACACTGAGTAACAATAGTATTTGGGTATGTAATGCTACTTAATAAAATTTCATCATATGAAACTCACAAGGTAGGATCTGTGTTAACATCACATCGATCAATGAACACGATACATTCGGAACATTGATGATCCTCTACTTTATTACATTTCCAATTGCGAATTCATAGAGAACTAAGTAGTTTTATATTCCGCGCTTTAGATTCACAAAGTTTTTTTCTGAGGAAAACCATAGCGAATGGAGTTACAGACTGTAGTATCATAAATCAAGTGTTAGATACACCAGAACACGGATGGGATAGTTTTTCTCCATTCCACATAGCTTATAATTTTTATGGCTTGTTGTGTTAATTTCTTTGAATAAGTAAATTTGATAAATATCTTATGTTCGAATCTCGCTAGTCGGGATCATGGATGAGCACTGCTAAGGAATCCCATACTAGAACGAAACCGCCGTCTAGTGCTTCCAGGTTTTCCGTGATAGCCTAGCTTCAACTAACTCATGATCTCAACCATCAAAATATCTCATGTCTTTTAAACAAAAATATCATAATTTAGCGGAAATAACTATGCAATGACTTACAATTTTTTTTAAATCACACTAAATTGTAATATCCACACAAATAATTCCATTAGTCATATATTCCAAATGAAATTTTCTTGTCTAGCAAACGACGTGAGACAAAACTTGTTTGATTCTTTAAGTATGGTAAAACTTTATAACTGTGCTTTCTCTTCCCGCATTATAGGGAATAAGGTGTCAGTGGTAATGAATTCAGTTCTTTCATGTCAATCAAGCATTTTTGCATCAGTCCTAGAAAAGATTCAGATCTTATGGATTTATTTTTTGTAAATCAACATACACTGCTGAAATACGAAAATAAAAATGAGAAGTACTGGCAGCTGGAAACGCTGATAAATACAATCGGTGAGATTATAATTTATGGACGACCTAATAGTGACGCTGAAGTGACCCTGAAAATGAGGGTTAGGAATTAGATTTAGAGTTTTTATCACGAACTGATATCAGCTATAATGCCAAGACTTAATTTAGCCGAATGTATGAATGAATTTTGTGCCAAAACCCCAGAATCGTTACCTTGTGTCTCATTGGCTCGTCCATAAATTATAGTCTCACCATAAAATCGTCGACTTAAATCGCATTTTGTATTTATCAATGAGCCCATTAATTCTACTAGTTTTTATCCCATGCTGGGTGATAAATTCGAATTTCGGCAAAAAAATATATATATTCAACGACATCGTTTGTATTTCAGTTAGTTTATCGTAATCTTAATGACGACATATAATGGTAATCATTGTATTGAACTGTATCAGGTTGTGAAAATGTCATCAGAACTTACTTCATTAAAAAATTTGGTAAACTATAAAATACATATGTGTCATTACATCCTTCTTATTTTGATATTTAAAACGGAATTCAAACAGATTTGTTGTGAAAATGCAATTTGAACTACTACTGTGATGTGTGCTACTTATATCGACGTAAGTAGTGTATAACGCTAGTTAGATAAAAAGAATGTCTGGAAGCAGAAGATTTGTAAAGGTCAAGAAGGAAAGAACAGTAACAGAAAGCGATTGATATGGAAACGCAGGAACAATGAAGTCTGAGACAGTTATTATACACTTTGCAAATGAATTATTGAACTTTTTTGTTTCTATTTTATCATGTAACTCTGTAATTTTGTGCTTAAAATGATCGATTTTCCTCACCTGTGTTCTCCTTCACTACATTATTACTAAATATATGAAAATTCGTACATTAGTTCATATTAGAAACCATATCTAGAAACCATAACTAAGTGGGAATCGGAAAAACAGTAATCGGTTGAAGTTAGACGTGCAATACCAACTCAATGGTCTAGTGGTTAATCGTTAGCACGCAAGATCGATAGGTCCTGAGTCCGACTACCACAAGCAGGATTGTGGATGCGCACTGCTGAGGTATGCTTTTTGTATTTTATCAAGTATCTCCATAATTTTGTGCTTAAATTAATCGACTGATTTCACCAATGTTCTCATTCACTACACTACGGTACTTTTCCTCTATTTAATGTAGATTTCAAGACTATTTTCATTCTTCCTATTTAAGTGGTAGTAAGGTAGGAATGATAGAATTAAGTCACATGTACAATCCCAAGAAATTTCGTTGGTTCAGGGTTCCTAAAGTTGGATATTTCAATCTATACAAAAAACAATTATAATCGATTATTTCTCAACATTTACTTACACATGAGCATAGTTCCTTCGTTTCATTAAACACAAACCAAGTTACATTTGACTGAAAGAAATTATTGAATAGAAGTAGAAAGCTGAGAATCCATTTACTCAACTGAATTCAGAAAATGATTAACTAACGTAGTTTTTAAACAAAAGAACATACATCTCTCTTTGAATTAAGAATAAGCCAATCTATGTCTACCTAAGAAACAAAAACGTATCAAAATGAAGCACAAATTGAAGAATTGAGTATTTTGAATTAAACATTTGATCAACAAAATGTATATTATATACTGCTAGCGATTCCATTATACTTAAATAATTAGGTAATGATGAATAGAACAAGCTGTGACAATCATCAGAGTTATGTAATACTTGGATACGATCTGAACTAAGAAGAACCTGACATTGGTCACCATCCAGTGATCAATCAGTTGTCAATATATCTCAATCCTATAGGAGGTCAATCAGTAGTAACGCCTCTAACTGTGAAGCTGGGTGATATGGGGTCGAATCCATCGAGGAATATCAGTTCCCTCAAGATTACAGGTACAACTTGCTGATGAGTGCAAATAGCATGTAACCTAGGTTCACGGTTTCTCATTGATTATTTATAACCATCATCTTAATGTATTGTATTGTTTGAAATAATTCAAAGTAAGATATTGGAACATTGATTCTTTCATTGAAATATAACTTACATTCCATCTCCCACTTCCTTTAGATAACAGTGAAGCAATTATATTAAATTGATTACTTTAATATGTGTAGTATTGACAGGGTGATGTATTATGTAGAAGAAAAGAAATTCAAGTTTAGGGTTCTTTATGAAACATAACACTGTGTAGTTTGGGGTCATCGATACAGCGGAATGAGATAAAGAATCAAGACACCGAAGTACTTTATGATTTCACTTTCTTTTCAGAGACAATTCTGACACATGAAGTAAATCTAAAATCTATCAGTAGCAAATCAACAACATAGACTTTTATTATCGATAACGTCCATATGCACCATGATAGAGAATATAGAAATCCACGTTACATGTCTTGTTTTATCTACGCTTGACTATTTTAGAAGGCTAAATATATTTGATCTGTTTCAGAAACGATACAAATCAGTGTTGGTATTTCGCCAATAAGGGCGATTGATCTATACTCGATTAATGAAATGCGGATCAAGCATATACGATTGAGTTTGTTCACCGTTAATTCGATTGTCATTGGGTTAACTTATTAATCAACTGAGTTATCCGTACTACAACAACAACTTATCTATATCATTGTACCTTTATTACTGTTGCGAATGTATGAACATGTATGCTTGAGCATTGCTTACTACCCAAGCATGTATTCACGCTACTGGCCTTACTACTAACCGCCTAATTGATTTGATGATTCATTCATTTCACTATGTATATATATGTCCATGTTATTCATGTTCATTGCTCTCTCACTTGCTTACTCCTACTCATATTCGCTGACTCACCCGTTTGCTTTTCGTCAAAACTCTTGTTAAACGCATCTGTAATTTTGGATATCTGTATGTTGTACCGTAATAAACTTAATCAACGCTTCGTATTCGCCTTCTGATAATTATACCGTTGAGGCGTTATCTAGTGACGGTTATCAAGACGAACTGTATACAAAGTTTACGGATTATACTGAATACCGACCACCACAAGCTAATCGAAATAATGACTTTTGTGTAAATTATGTTTTGATATTTGATAAATTTGATTTTAATAATTGAATTCATGAGTCGTTCTAAGCTGGACCATCATGAGATGCTTCATGCTGAAGAGTCCTATACTACAATCAAAATGGTCATCTAATGCTTTCAAGTTCAAGGTTATTTATATGAGTCATAAATAGTTATACTTACCATCAATTCTGAAGACTATTAGAAATAGAGACCAAAAAATAAGGGTAATACATGGTAATATAAATATTTGATATGGAGTCAATAGAAAATCACTCTTAACCATTGGATATTGTATGAATCTCCAATGGAACGGATTACAATGTTTATATAGAGATAAGCTTGACCAATTGAGATTAAACTTATAAAGGAGTCTACACATATGACAATAGGGGATAATGTAACATTAGCAAACATCCATCAATTGTATTCATCTAACGGCATACATTAATTGACGATGGACCACACCTTATATCCATCCATATATGATGAGATGACAATTGAATTGCTATGATGTGATAATAGGCAAGATACTTAGTGAAAGTCAAATGTATGATTGTTGTCATGATTATCAAATAGGTGATTAATCAGTTAAACATATTACCGATCAGCTTTCTTGAATGTAAACATCATTTTGATGTATCCTCCCATCACTAAAAGTAAGTTGTAATACTTACTTAAATGGGTTATAGGTATAATAAACTCAGCAAGTCTATACTTGCTTGATTTACAGTAGTTATGTCAAGTAAATCATGGATGACTAAATGTTCTATATTCTGTCCATAAACATTTCTGAAGTAAGAATTTGTTTTCGGTAGAGCTTATAACGAATCAGTTTATTGTAAATTACTGTCTACATGACAGTAGATTGAAAGAGAATAGATTCGTTGATAACGGTTGATTTTGAAAGCATCATATGTTTAGTTCCATAGTCTGTGTAAGTTGTCAACAGTGTACTTAAAAGGTTTGAATATTTTTTTCTGTTTGGCGTTTTTTAGCGAGTTAGTTTTCTACAGTATGGGGTCGCTAACCCCATGCCCGACCCTCCTACTTTATCCGGGCTTGGGACCGGTAGTAGCCCACGGAGGGACTTCAGGAAGAGTTCTTCAATAGTTTGGGTACTTGAAAATAAATTATAGTAGTCATTTGTAAGTGACATTCATGTTAACATACACTGTACTTTGCTTACTTTTTTTTGGTTTTAGAATTGCATTATTCTTCACCATTAAGATGGTCGAACTTCGACTTAAGGTCAAAGAATGTAACAATGATAGGATGTCGATAACCATGTGTTCCAAAACCTGATGAAATGTGAATATATGACCTATAAACCTACATCCATGTTTGAAACTAGACTAGTTTTTTCGGGTTCGATCTTTTCTTGTTTGTATTGAGCGTCTGAGTGTTATTGGGCCTAATATTTTCGATACTATATTAGCCAAACAGATTCTTCTCTGATTATCAAAGTTGAAAATTCTTCCTTGCTTATAAACTGACACGATCTGTGATTGGGGTCAGTCTGATGATGTGTCATCTACATCACAGATTCTTGCTAAGATCTCACTTCATCCAACTGCTGAAACTGAACCAATATTGATTATTATTTCTTAGGCTGACCGAACGAAACCTCCCGCTCCTACATTTGTCATCTGTGTATCACTCACTTACCGACATTATTCTCATTCTCTGCTGTTTAAATTTATACCGTTTTCATTTATAGTTATAATAGCTTCAATTTAACGATGCCAAACCCTTTTCTATGAACTGATTTTTCCACGAACTGAAATAACCAGAAATCGTCATTTAATAATAACAATAAAAGTAGTTGCAATTATTGACGAACTTAGAACCTGAAAACTGATTGATGCTAAACGAAAATGAACTTTGAGATTAGATGATGGTTGGAGGTAGGCGACAAGAAACCCTGGACCCAGATTTCGTTCTACTTGACACTCGTCAGCAAGTTGAACCTGTAATCTTGAGGGAACTGGTGCTCCGTGGCGCTTTCGATCTCGTGTCACCCACATTCAAAGCCAGAGACGTTGCCACTGAGCTATCCGAGCCGCGATCTACATCCTGGGTGGTGATCAATGTCATGCGTGTCTAGTCCTTATTAGTGCAGAACTTTGTATATATTAAAACTAGATGGTAAATAGTTCCAGCTTTTATTCATAACTATATTAAGACATTATGAGTAATTACAGTCTGAAAAACTTCCTTCTCGATATTCTTCTTGATCATCAGGATTGCATGACTACAACGCTGTTATTCCTGAAGAATAGCACTAAATTTTCAAAATCAGACAAGAAGTAGAAAATACATCACAAATTAGAAATTAGCTCGTTGATGCTGCTGAAAATTTATGAACAGGTGAGTTATAAAATTAGACTTATGTCGTAGTTAACAAAAACACAAGTTGGACACATAATGACAGAATCTCTTAATAACATTTGAGAACCATACAGCAGAAAATACTTCATCTGCAATATGTCAATCAATAGTCTTAGACTTCACTGTTCCTTAGTTTCCATACCAATTATTCTCTGTTCTCATTCTCTTGTCTTTGAATTTCTTAACCTTCTACTACCATGCATTTCACTTTTAATTGTTAATACTTACTACATATATCTGTCGACATCTGTAGGACACACCACAGTATGATCACATAAGTTTATTGGGTTTGGTTGCCAAAAGTACGCAATCCTGCATTGCATTTACGACCTGTTTTGAATATCTAATTCATCTTACTACCAAATCCCTTCAATGCTTATTCGTAAGATTAGAACCAGTTAGAAGGCAAATTTCTAAATATGTTCGGTTCATCATACTTTTCAATTTACTGACAGTATTAAAGAAATGCTTACCTGATGTTAGTCTTCTGTTCATCAATGTACCATTAACTGAAACTATACGTTATATTCAATCACTATTTGTATGCCGGAAATATGAATAATTAAGATGCCAGTTTACAGGCATAATCAGCTTGATATAGACAAGGATTTTTTAACGAGTTAATTTTCTACGGGATGGGAACGCTAACTCCATGCCCAACCTTCCACCTTTGTCCATGCTTGGAACTGGTAGTAGACCCAGAAGAGCTCCAAGCGGATTTTGCCAGATATAGATATTAAAATTAAATGTGGATGAAATATGGGTTGTTCGATTGTTTGAAGTGTTCTAGTTCGAACTCATCTGATAATGATTGGCTGAACTTTAAATATCATGGCTAGAGCAGAACCATTATATCACTAAGCTAGTGTCCATAGATACTGTTTTTAGATATCGTTAAATGATCATGGATGATTGACTATCTCTTTCCTGACGTACCCAAGCTTCAGCGATCAAGCATTTTCAATCAGATTTCGGGAATTCATTCTGAAGCAAGTTATTAATAAGCTCATGATTATAATTTGAAAGTAGGAGTATGTGAGGAGTAGATTTATGCCAAGACGAATCATACTTTCACTGACTTGTATTATTTTACAAAGTTTGGTGTTAGTAAATAACAAGTGTCCTGTGTATTGAGATTACTTACTTACTTACTCACTTACTTACGCATGTTACCTCTCGTAGAGGAGCATAGGCCACCCACCAGAGTTTAATTTGTTTATTCTGGTCAACATTTTTTAGCAAGGTTGTTTTCTGCCGGATGAGGTTGCTGACCCCATACCCAATCCTAATCCTTTACTCGGGCTTGAGACCGTCAGTAACGCTAGAAGAGCTAGAGGCGGAGTTGTGTATCAGGATAGTAAGAAATAAATAGTAAGCGCAAATCGTTTTAACCTATTGGTTATCATATGCCTTTGGATGACTTCATTTTTCAGCAAGAAAAATAGTAATCTACTTGGACTGTGTTGAACATTGTAGTTTGAGTCTCTCTCTGGAAGCTGTTTCTGACTAAACTGATCACTGATAGAACTAATAGCACTTTCCTGGTAGGCCACCATAATCTGTTACAGATTTATTAAATATTCACTAACAGTGAGTTCACTTAACTTCGTCTGTAGCTCTTCTAGAGTTACTGATGATCTCATGTTCGAACAAAGGAGGAGTGCTTGGCATTGGGTCAGTAACCCCACCCCGTAGAAAATAACCTTGTTGAAAAACGCTAGCCAGAAAAAATAATTTTAATCATTTAAACCCTACCCCACCAGTTGAAGGATTTATTGTCAAAAGAATTATAACGCCTCATGGTGAATGCCGAGATTCTTCGGAAGTCATGAGGCCAATGCCCTTTCTAACAATTAAAGCAACAATTAATGCAGGTACGTGGAATGTACTGAAAGTGTGGGAGACCGAGAGGACCAAATAAATAAGTACAGAAATGAGGAAATACAACTTGACAGTGTTCAGAATAAGTAAGACCCATTGGATGCAAGATTGACAGAAAAGATTGGATTCGAGAGAGATATTGTTGTACGCTGTTCATGTAGAAGTAAATGCTTTGCACACACAGGAATTTGCTCTGATGCTGTCCAGAGAAGCACGTAAAGTACTTATAGGATGAGAATCTCATGGATCGAGGATCGTGAACGCATCTTTCAAAAAGAAGGAGGGAATCATAATGAATGTTATCCAGTGTTATGCAGTCATCAACAATAACAGTGAAGACGACAACAATTAGTATTATGAGAGGTTAAAGTCGATCGTAGTGAAGTACCCAGGAAAGGCCTTGAACATCCTAATGGGAGTCCTAAACTTCAAGGTAGAAGTGGATAACACTGGATATGAAGACAATTAGAGTAGCAACATTACAAACGTTCAATACAGACTTCCATCGAAATAATGACGAACTCAACAAATTCAAGATAACTTTCAAAAACAGGTTCCAAGCCTCATAGGATCTGCTGAAGGAACAAGAAACTACTATGGAGGACAACTGGGATCAGATCAAAGAAGCACTAACTTCAAAGTGTTAGGGGGTGCTGGACAGCAATAAGCATCATCATAAGGAACGAATCTCGAACGAAACCCTAAACAGGATTCAAGAAAGGAAGAACAAGCAGACAGCAATTAACAACAGCCGAAAAGGAACAAGGCAAGTCAAGGTACAAACCAAATACACTAAAGCAAACAAGCAAGTGAAGAAGAGCATTAAAGCTGATAAGCAGAAATACGTGGAAGACTTAGCAACGACAGTGAAAATAGCTGCAACAGAAGGAAATATGCGAACTATATGATATAACAAATTAATTAGCAGGGAAATATCAAAGTCAGAATATTCAATACCATCATCAAAAATCTACAAATATCTGCAAACTATTATCTACACAACGTACTCGATGTCCGTTTGTCGGATACCATCCATGGCAACCTACTTTGATTGAGAACAAACTAACTTCCAACTGAAGAGAAAACTAGTACAAGACACTGGAGGTGATA